ATTTTTGAGTTACTGCTTTAATATCATTTTTATGTTGTTCTAAATATTTTGAAAATATTAGAATATCATCTATATAGACCAAACAACAATGATAAGTTCTGTAAAAATATTATCCATTCTTCTCTGAAATATCTGTGGAGCATTTTTTAACCCAAAAGGCATTACTAGCCATTCATAATGCCTTTGAGAGGCACTAAATGCAGTTAATGGAATGATTTCCTCTTCCATTTTAATTTTCCAGTAGCCACTTTTACAATCCATTTTAGAAAACCATGTGGCTCCTTGTATTCTATTAAATAACACAGTTTTATTAGGAATATAATAGCCATCAAAAACAATATTATCATTTAGCTGTTTATAATTAATAACCATTCTAGCTTTACCTCTTTTTTCTTCTACATGATTTCTTACCATGAATACTGGACTATTATGAGAACTTTTTCTATTCCTAATTAGCTTTTTATTAAGCAATACTTTTATTTGTTCATTAAACTCCTGAATATCTTGGTAGGTATAAACCATTTGACTCACCCTAATAATCTTATTGGGATTTGTTAGAGTTATCTTAGCAAATGCCTTATCCTTTTCCCAATGTTCTAAAGGATTTGTTGAATATAATTTTTCGCATAGTTTTTCTTGTTGCTTATTTATCTGATATATTAATGATGAATCACACTCAGAAATTCTAAGTGCAACCTCTCGTTGTGTAGGAGTAACCCTATCACCACGCTTGCTGCGCGTAAATTCCATTGTCTGATGAGTATATGCCTTTGTTATTTTCTATATGGGAACAGAATGACCATTAATAGTAAAGATTATTTGATCAATAGTTTGAGTGCATGGGGAGTATAACCTTTGAAAATTATTTCCTATTATCATATCATGACTTAGCTGATCAGTCGCCCATAAAATAGGAATAACACATTGAACTCCTCCAATTTCTATCTTTAAATCTTCAATTATCTCCGTATGCATCATGACACTATTATTAGTAATTCTAACTTGCATAGGATTTTTGGCCTTTTTCCATAAGAATTCTAGAAATAATGATCTTTTTCCAAAACATGTAGAGCAACCACTATCAATATATGCACATAATTTATATTTATTGTAATCATCAATGCATATATCAATTGGAATATAAATGCTATTAGGGTTAGTACTGGATATTTCATTATGAGCTTCCATTTGCATATTAACTTCATCTTCATATACTGGTTCACTCACAGTTTTTGTTTTATATCCAATTACCTTCCTTTTATCAATAGGATTATTTGGATCTTCATTTAACTCGAAATTAGAACATGATCCCATATCAATGCTATGTCTTGCAAGCTGTTTTAAATTCTTTAGTAAAACTAATATCTCTTCTTCATCCTCTTCTGGCTTTTCTTCACCTTGTTTTTTCATTCTTATTATTGTTGAATTTTGTCTACTTAGACTTGGTGTTTTAAGACTCAGATTTCTCTGTATTTTAGGTTTTGTATTCATTCCAATATGAAGTAATCCTGATTCATCAATTATCATCTTACTTGATCTATTACTAACTGCAGGGTTCATAAGGAATTCCTCCCAAGTTTTTTCAATTTCAATTTCATTAGGATTTACCTTTATAGGTGTAATTTTCTTCTTAGGACCTCCTCCTTGCTCATATTTCTGGGCATTGACTATTTGTTTCTTAAAAGATGAGTCTATAGTGTTTGCCAACTTATAAACCACCTTCCATCTTAGTTGTATGGGTCGTGTTCCTTTATGCATTTTCACTCCTTCTGTTAATAACTTAATAAATAAAAACTTGTTCGCAAAGGAATACTCTAAGCTCACATAATATCTAGGTTCACATACATAGCTTATCGTTCCTTGACTTAAGTTACATGTGATACCACTAATTATTTGATCATAAAATTCTTTATGTCTAATATCACAAATAAAAATCAAGCATTTGACATCCTTGCCAAAATCTTGCAAAGGAGTTATGTATACTTGTACTGCACCAATACAAATATAGCTATAATTTCCTTTTTCTTTATGTTTTTTTAATACTTTTCCAGTTTATGATATTAATTTCGGCTGCCTTTTGTTCACAATCTTCAATTACTATGCTTCCTTCCATTTCCTCACATACATATTTAGTTCTAGTTTTAAAGAAAGAAGTTTTAAATATTTTATCTTTAGTAATATGTGGAAAATTCCATCTTTCTTTGTTTACTTGATCTAGGTCATTGTCTTCAAATGAATACTCAGCTCTTTTTAGTTGACCTATTTTCATTTTGCTTTTATCTTCCTCATTGTCATCTGACTCTGAATTTTCTAATTCTTATCCTTCCATCATGTTATTTATTTCTTCATAATTTTCATCTTCAAACTCATCACTAACTTCAGGCTCTTCATTATATTCATTTTCTTCTTCTATGATTTCTACTATTCCTTTATTATTACTTAAAGCCAATTCTAAAGCCTCGTCTTTTGGTATTTCTTTGTAATCCCAACTTCCTAAGGCTTCCATTAGTTATGATTAGATTTCTTGCATTCATTAGCATAATGTCCTAATTCTCCACAAGACCAACACTTGCACGTTTTCTTTTTCTTAGGACAATATGTTGCCTTTCTGAAAAACCTACTTGGTTTTCTATATTTATGTTTATAATACTTCTTCTTATAGGTTTCTCCTCTTGATCGGTCAAATTTATTTTTCTTATAGTTCTTTACTTTATTATAGTTTTTTCTTTCACATCCATAGTTATTTGGGAAATCCCAACAAGTGAGAAATTGCCTCTTCATTTGTTGTGTTCCTGCAACCTCTCTACACTTCTTTTCAATCCACTTTCTAAGGAAAGCAATCCTGTTACCTAGGGCATCCCTAGCTAAAAATCTTTCTCTCCATTCTTGATATTTTTAACTGATTTCTTCATTAAGGGGACTTGGTAATTTATCATATAACATTCCAAGATTTGTTTCATTTTCACCAATTTTATAATAATATGTTTCAAACTCCATAATGTAACTTTCAACATATTTCATATTACAGATGGACAAATTACTTAACTTTCTTTGATATTCCATTCGTTTTTCATTAGGATCAGCTCTTGGACCAATGAATTCTAACTCAATGTATTGGCATAACTGCCTAAACATTCTAGTAGGAGATTCACTAGCTCTTAAAGTAGTTTTGACTTCTTCATCTATACCATTGTACCAATCTTCTACACAGTCATAAAAACTATGCTCGATATAATTTAAGAAATTTCAGAAGTCCAGTCAGTGTTTAGGTTGAGTACACTACTCATGCTCTTTTTCCACTGATCTAAAACATTTTGTCTATCTCTTACTCCGTCTAACTTAAGTTTATAACCAGTTTTACTTATGGGTTCCAGAGTCACTTCTTCTTGTTTAAGTATTTAAGTAGGCATAATCTTGACATTAAACCGGGTAGTCTTCCCTGGTATGTATCTTGGTCGAGTGCAACTTCCTTCTCCTTGATACCTAGGTCTTTGGATAACAATGTTTACATTAATATTTTCATTAATAATTTCCTCACCAACATCATTATTATTCATTACTCTTTTACCTAGTTTATTTTCGATCTTTCGTTGAACAACTTCTATGGGTAGAAAGTCTAGATCATTTAATTTCATTAATCCCATTTGTTGATATAAACCTTCCTCTAAAGTAGCATAATTATTTCCCTCTATTTCATTATCAGAAGCAATCCCTTTTTTAGAAATTAAATTCATGATTTCGTTCGGCTTATTAGGGTCTTCTTCTTTGTCGAATAGAACTTGTAATTCATTTATTGTTTTCTCCTGAAGATGAGGGCTCATGTTTAGTTTCTTTATTCTTTTCTTGGTTACTAGTAGGTCTTTTAGGGAGTGTTACAGTAAACTTTTTATTTTATCTAGGTTTTGAAAAGGATATTTATATTTATATGGGACGATTTTATCTTTATTAGGTGATGCTTCTTTTCCAAATTGATGCCTAACTTTGTTTGTTAAAGCAAGTTGAACTTGTTGAATCTGCTCGTTTAGATCGCTTACTTTTTTTTTATTAATATCTATTGTGGTTATTGATATCTTATTTTCGATATTAATACAACGAGCATGTATGTTATCAACTTCCGATCTTAATTCGCCAATTTGATCTACTATATAATTAAGGACTGGGCCAAAATTATTAGTATTTTCAAGAATATGATAATAATGTTTAAAATCAGGTTTCTTACATTCAGTAGAGGGCTTAGTGTTCTCCGGTTTTACTTAATTATTAATGCTTTAATTTAGCTTTTAACCGTATGACTCTGATACCAATCGAACGCTGCTAGATACCAACAAAATCTTAATTGGGACACCAACTATAAAGCTACTTATACCATCAACAATACTTGTTATTTTATGATACCGACCTCAGTATTATGATGATACCAACGAGTTATAGGAAGGTATTTTGATACTACTCAGGATGGTATTGTCTATATATATTGTTGGTACATACAGATAAGGTATTTTTTTTTAAATTACGAGAATGACCTTACTAGAGACCACATTAGTCTCTACCTACTTGAGACCAAGAATTCCTCGCTTAACTAAATTGAACTGAAATTTTAAACAAAAGTCCATAAGAAGTTAGAACCAGGTTGTCTTGGTCCAATGCTTCCCGACGAATTTTATCTTTATTTATTTTACAATATCATTTTTTTCATGAAAACAAAAGGTTGTACAATTCTTAAAGAAGAGACATAATTGCTGTCATATTCATAGGAATCTGATCTCATACAGCTAGAGTACATGCATAGCATTCATCTTGATTGTGATATCACCAAAGTCTACTCCTTGAACATTATTTATTTTCCTCCTATTTGTTATTTTCTTCTTCATTTTATATATTTAATTTCATGTATTGATCAATTATTAAATTTATCAAACATAGACTTATTGACTATTATTCCAAGTATCATATCAAGCTAAGTTAGCAGTGTAATTTTAAATTACTGCTACACGACTAGATTATTGTTTAATATATTGCAGGCAGTACAAGTAGGAGAATTAAAAACAATACAATAATCATCATAACATCATGATTACCATTATTAAGTACTAGAATTGGTCATATATTTTGATCTAAACAACTCTTCCCCTTCAACTTCATTACCTGAACCACAAAACATCTCTGCAGTCTTGCAGAATTATTGTTAAATGTATCAGAACTTTGCACTTTCTGTCATCTTCTTCTTCGTCGTCATCTTCCTGATATCATCGGCATCAGCCGATGAAAGATACGACAGTTGCCCTCCTGGCAAATCATCATGTGGGTTCCAACTGAAATATCCTTTCTGGGATGGGAAACTGCCAGATTACTGCGGTCATCCGACCTTCAAGCTAGACTGTGACAACAATAATTTAACAATCAATATTGATAATCAGGCTTACAAAATCCTCGACATCAACTATGTTGATAAGGTGTTCACCCTTGCAAAGCCACCGCTGTTAAGAGGCCCCTGTCCTGATAACAAAAACTTGTTGACCAACACTACCTTAGACTCGAAACTCTTCAGCCTCACTCCGAATTCTCAGAATGCCACCCTCTTCTATGGTTGCATGCCTCCTAAGTCAAATCCAGATCCGCCCTATGGCTTTCATTGCTCAATTAAGAATTCATATTTGGCATCATCTGAGAGCGACATTGGCTATCTAGCAGTCGCCAGCTCACAATCAGAGAAAGAACTCAGGAGTAACTGTAGTTTTGAGATATTTATTCCGGTTCTGAAGACTGAAGCAGTAAAGATTGCAAATGGTGCATCGAATATTGATCAGCTATTGCAAAAAGGATTTGAAGTAAAATGGTTAATTGATGATGGATTATGTAACGAATGTACAAAGGACAAGGGAAGATGTGGATACAATCGAACATTAAAGCAGCCTGTTTGTTTCTGTAAGGAAGGTGCCAATGGTCCAAGTTGCAATAGAACTCATAAAATTGAGGCATATGCTCCATCAGGTAAGCATCATCCATATTATTGCTTTTTGTGTTATATGCCAAGTAGTTTATTTATTCATTGTTCTAGCTAGTTGTTAAGAGCTCTAATAGTTGACAACATAACCAAACTAATCATAGAAAATTTTAAAAATTAATAATAAGTACCATTCAGGAAAAAAAGGAAGTATATTTTATGATTAATAGCTTAAATTACATCATGAAAATTTTAAATAAGAATTGAGATACCCATCTTCATTGGTAGAGGTTTTCCATATAATCCAAAATTTACCTTTGTTATTAGGGGTAAAGCATAGAATCAACAATTGAAAATGTCCCTATAACTAATAGTATATTATGACAGTAAATGCCGACACAAATCTAACAAGACCCTAAATAACAATTTCTCTCTGTATAAATTACAATGTGTGGTTGAAGAGGATCATGTAAATTGGTACAAAATTTCTGGATTAGAGGAAGTATAAGAAATTAAGTCAAATATATGTATCATTTATAAAATCTACCATCCTAGAGAAAATCTTGCAATGTGGCAAGTCATCCGCACATATCACTAAATTTTGCATATTTGTAAGATAGAGGATCCAACAATTTGTTGTAGCCACGAGATTTGATCTTTAACTTAATCATCTTGGTTGTTTACCTTGCATGATCATTCATTTAAGAACCTGTTTCACAGTAGTAGTTCACCAATATTATAAGTACATATATAATATTAAACTTAGAGAGTAAGGAATAGGTCAAATGGTTAGAGCTCCCTCCCGATTTCAAGAGATCTGAGAACAATTACCCTTGAGGCTCTCTAAAAAAAAAAAAATTACAAAAGTCAGTTATCACTAATCAATCTTAGCTACCATAAAACAACTCACTACATTCAAACAAAAAATTGTAAGACATAACATAATAGAAATAAATTTAACGGAATGGGTCTAGAATAGTCATATTGCTTCTACAAGGGTACTTCGTCGATATTAATCGTCAGTATATGGATTATATTAATCATTCAATTTTACAGGAGTACTTCGTCAATTTTATAGGGGTTATTTAGGGGTTACTTGGTCAGTATTATAGGAATTATCGGGTTAGTTTTATAGGGGTTACTTTGTTTTTTTACAAGTGGTCACATGGTGTAGCCAGCCGCACACAATATACACTACTTCTTCTAAATTTTTGCGGAGATAGGATTTTCATTATTATAATAAGAATTACTCCAAATTTATTTATTTAATTTTTTGTACGATGAGCTACTACATGCCTGCTCACATTTACTTAATTTTAGTTCCATTCAGTTTAGTATAGCTCCGATCAATTTAGTTCAGTTCAGCTCCTAATTTCTCTCTCTCATTAAAAATTCATTTCAGCTCATTTCAGTTCAGTTCATTTCAGCTCTAATCAGTTCAGTTCATCTCCAATCACTTCAGTTCAATTCAGCTCCAATCAGTTCAACTTAGTCAATGCGAACATACATACATACATACATACATATATATATATATATATATATATATATATATATTATAAGAATAATACAAGTTAGTTCTCATTATTATATGAATGTATGTATTAGTTCAGTAGTTCATAGTTTTCACACACCTACCATTATACTAGTCAATTCATCAAAGTTGGTGATCGACCACATGCCAAGAGATACGATTTTTTTTTTTAAAAAAATTATTATTATTATTATTCTAATAAATTATGCTTTGTATAATTCAATATAATTTTAGACAAATTAGATGGAGTTTTTTATATGATATTGATTGTTCAGCAAGAGTGATGATGGAATGGTAAATTCAGGAGTAGTGCACCGACGTACATTTCACTCTTATGATATTAATCCAATGTTAACAAAAAAATTATAATATTTAATTAAACACCTTCAAGTTGCCTATTTTTTTTTTGTTGTTGTTGACTACTCTAATTATGTAGCTAAGAAATGCATCATCAACTTCCTGACCTTTTACAACATGATTAACTAATTGATCAAGCATGATTTAAGACGTTACATGGAAGTTTCCATATGAATTAGAAGGAACAAATATCCTAAATCATTAATAAAGCAGTGTGTTAATAAAGATGACAAACTGTTAAATATTGGGGAAAAATATTTCTCTGTACTATATTTTCTCATTTTATTTCTCTATTGTATTGTCACATTCATTTTCTTCAGCCACATTACAATATATGTAGACATAAGATTGATAAATCCTAATATTCCTAAATATCATCTTAATACTTCTAAATCTATTACGGAGTTTCCAATAATATCTCATATGATTAATATCATATCACAATATACAATCCTGTCTCAATACCATTTTTTAAGTCAGGAGGTATAGATCTCGAATGTCCAACATGGACAATAATATAAAATCAGCATCTTGTTGTCATCAAACTGCAATTTGTAATCATCAAGCGATCCACCAAAAATCACAAATTTTTTTTTGAACTTTTTTTTTTTTGAACATAAACTCAACATAGTCACAAAAAATTCGATTTCTTATTATAAAAAAAAATTAAATTGTAAACTCTCACAATAATTTTGCATTTAACACAATTAATGAATAATGTGCACAATTGATCACTCCTCTTACACCAAATCACGTGTTTGAAATTTATTATATTCTCTTTCTTGATGAGAAGGTCATTCTTTCCGAACCCATCAAATCTATCTATACTAATATATTAAAAGACGTTTATAAAAATGTCCATGCGCCACGTCACTTTACTAACAATTTATGATGTCACGTCAGTTCACAAACACTTGATGGCGCCACGTCACCTACCCAACATCTCAACCTGCTGATAAGAGGATTTGAACCCCAAACCACTTACAACAAAATTGACTATTTAGCCATATAAGTTAATTATCAAACATGTTATAAATATGAAAAAGAAATATATATGTAACTATAAACCACTTGGTTTAATTACTTTAAAAAAACACATATTATATTCAAAGAAAATTAAATCATAAATTACAATGTATATTAATGTTCAGTAAGTTTCATATAATAATCCGGGGCATTGCCCGGACCTAAAATCAAGTGTATTAATAATAATACAACAAGAATGCCATTTTTTCGAACTCGTTATACTACCTCCAGATTTTCTTTAGTTACAACTTTGGAATATTTTATATCTCTCAAATAATATCCCAAAGTTGCAACTAAAAAAATCGGAGCGAGGTAATATTTACTTTTCCTTCACCTCTCACACGATCTCTCGTGTTTAAGGCTTATCTCATCATCTCATACTATACAAACTCTCTTATTTTTCATCCTCTCCTCTCACACGAACTTTCAGTTTTTTTTTTCCTTTCTCTCCTCCACATGAACTCTCGTATTTAAGGTTCTCTTATTATCCCACACGGACTTTTTCATCCCAGGATTTCTCTATGCTCTTGATGCCATGTTAAAATCTCCCTAGGCTCTTGACACCAGGTTAAATATTAGGGAAAAATATTTCTCTATACTATATTTTATTGTATTTCTCTATTTTATTTTCTCATTCATTTTCTTGGACCACACTATAATATAGAAACATATGAATAACAAACCCTAATATCCCTAATAAATATCTTAATTCTCCTAAATTTATCACAATATATCATATACATCTTTTCATAATAATATCTCATATAATATTATTCTCATAATATCTCATATGATATTATTAACATAACATCATATCACAATATACATTCCTATCTCAATACAAACCGAATCCTATATATACAAAGTATTCCCTCCGTACCTAAATTACATTCCTACTTTCCTTTTTGGGGTTTCAAAATTAGATTTCTACTTTCTTTTTTAGTATATGAAGTTTTACCAAATTATTTTTATTATCTAAATTTATTCCCCAAAATGTCCCCAAATTATCGCTAAATTAGTGTGATGTGGCATTACTTTAATTACTTTTCGTTTGGCAATTATTGGTTGCATGGAAACCATAATTTAATTGGTCCATGTGAATAATTACAATCCATGTACACCACAATAAATGAGTTTGATTGGTCATTTTATTTTTCATAAACTAATGTGATTGATCCTTTAATTTTTCTTTTCAAAAGAATTGATGATATGTGTAGGCATTTAACATAATTTTATTTTGTTTTATTCAAAGACAACAATAAATGTCTTGTAACATACTTTCTAATCATGGGTTTTAAGTTTGATCCAAGTTCCTTAATTCTCGTGTAAATTTAGAAATAGGAATGTAATGTAATTTAGGGAAGGATGGAGTATTTTATTTTGTAAATTACTATTAGTTTATATACTCCGTCCCTATGTCCCTTAATGATAGTCTCTTATGGACAATTTTCACGGGAATTAATAAACATAAATAAAAAGTAATAAAAGAACACTTGAAAGATAAATTTACATTTGGTATGCAAAATAATAGAGAGGGCAAGTAATAAAAGTACATTTTTACTAAATTTGCACAAATATTTTTACTAATTGGAGGGAATTTTGATAAAAAAAAATTGATATTAATAGTACTTGAAAAAAGCAAATGAAACTATTGTTTAGGGACTTAAAATTGGCAATAAGGGACGGAGGGAGTAATATAATTGATAATTGGGATTTTTTTTTTTGTTGAAAATCTACATTATACATTCAGTAGATGTTATGAAAACTACGTTTAAAAATTAGGGTAATGTTATATGTAGCCCTAAGGGCTATATATAAGCATTAAATACACTCTTGAAAATTGTATAAAATTAGAAATACATGACAAAAACACGTGTAAATCAGTGTAATTAATGTTTATATTTTTTATGATTTCTTAACTTTTTACGATTTTCAAGTGTAAATTTAATGCTTATATAGGGCTATGTATAACATTTTCCTAAAAATTATTATAAGAAACTAATTATTAACAATAAATGTTTTAATAAACTACCCTATGTTGGTTCTTACATTGAATAAGAGGCATTTAATGAACTATGTCATTTCCACCCAATTCTTGCCAAGTTTCCCAACAGCCCCCTCATAACCCTTAATTTCCCTTCCATGTTATTATTAAAGCCCCGTCCGCTTCACCTTATTTTTGTTGCATTGAAATTATTTTTACTGAAATGAAATTATTTTGCTGAATTTAAATTATTTTTACTAAACTGAAATTATTTTTCTAAACTGAAATTATTTTTACTGAATTTGTATTATATTTCATCTTTAAAATTACTGAATTTTACTGAACTGAAATTAATTTTACTGAATTGGAATTATTTTTACTGAACTGAAATTAATTTTACTAAAGTGCAATTATTTTTACTCAACTAAAATTAGTTTTACTGAACTGAACTTATTTTAACTGAAGTGAAATTAATTTTAAGGTGAAGTGAACATGACCTAAGTCTGAAACAGATAGCAACTTACAACATTCAATTCTTTATAAATAGTTTCTTACAATATCAATCAATCAATCAATTAACATATACTAAAAGCAAACCTAAAGTGACACTTGTGACGATGTCATTAAAAAATTTCCCACCTTTTTTTTTCTTTCTTTATTTTTTTTCCAAATTTGAATGACTTCCAATTTTCAACCTACAATAATACTTATTTCCATTTTTACAATACATTTAATCCAATCATACTCAAATAATTTTTTTTATTATCGTTTTTTAATATATATATATTTTATATACTAGGAATCTTTAAATTCCAAATATAGTAACATCGATTAGAATTAAGGTATTGCAATACTTCGTATATCATTATCCAAGATTATTATAATATTATCAAATTTTTTCCGCTAACTTAAAATTTATTTTAATTAAAAATAAAAAAAATATTTTGGTAACATACTTTGTATAGATCTTAAAATTATGCATAACGTTAATAAGAACAACCAAACAAAATTATTTTATTATATAATACTCCTCCTTTTTTATATGTTATACTCCCTCTGTCCCCTTTTGATAGTCCCTTACGGACAAATTTTAGTCCCAAAATGTTCACCACATTTGCTTTTTTCAACAACTATTAGTATTAAATTTTACCAAAATTCCCTCCAATTTGCAACAATATTTATGCAAATTTAACTTTTTCATGTAAATTTTGTTTTGCCATTTATTTTTATTACTTTCTCTCTCTACTTTTTTTTTCATACCCAATGTCAATTTATTTTTTCAATACACTTTAACTACTCTTATTTGTGTTTATTAATTCCCGTGAAAAATGCCCATAAGGGACTATCAAAAGGGGACGGAGGGAGTAGTTGGATTTGCACATTTGTCGAGACACAACTTTAACCATCAACTAGTTTTGTGCCCGTGCGATGCCCGGGTTGTTTATTGAATTTTAAGATTAATATTTAATCTATATGTCAAATTTTAAAACATATCATTAATAAAAATTTAGTTAGGAAATTATGTGTTTTAATTTTGTGACAATTTAAATTATGTAGTAGGCATGTAATGACTAAAAATAATAAAATTGGTGAAAACATTTCTTGACCCGCAACCTGAAATAATGATCCTGTCCGAAATGACTCGTGATCCGACCCGATTGACGGGTAGGTTTACACACAATAATAAAATTATATTAGATTTTGAAGTATTATTATTTTAATTGATTAGAATATATTATAAATAATAGATGTGGTAAATTTTGAACTAATTCCTTCGCTCCAAAAAAATATTATGATACAAAAAATAAAATTATGTGATAATTTATGAGAGTTATAATCTATTTATTTTTTGAATAAAATTATAATTCAATTTGTAAATATTGGTACTTTATCGAAAATAAAACTCTAAATTAACAATTTTATCTTAAAATTCTATCTAAATTTGATTGAAAATAGAATTCTAAACAAACTTTTTATTCTACAAATCGAATTATGTATAACTCTATCCTACATGTGGCGACACTTGGCGAAAAGTTAGAACGCCAAGTGTCACTGTCTCGTCGTCTGTCTAAAAGTTTAGCTTTATATATTAGTTATATATAATATGATATGATATCCTTAATTAAAGACTGTTATTTTGTTACAAATATTCTTTTTGGTAAATTATTGTTAAATTAAAATCATTCTTTACAATTTTTGTTATAAAGTTAATTATTAACGTGCATGACACGAGAATTAACCTAGTTAATTACTCGTATAAGGTTGTTTTTTTTTCAATTTTAAATTTATAATGTTACTCTGTATTATTTACAAAAATCATTGATAATTATAGATGATGATATAGTGTCACTAAATGCTAAATAAACTATTACAAAAGTTTTAATTGAATTTGAGGTAGGGGTTAGCTAGGGACATTGCGGTTTTCGAGGTGGGGTTAGGAAGTGGGGCGGCTTCAGAGATAGGACTAGGAAGGGGGTTGGTTGCCGGTGATGGGATAGTTGCTGCCCTTGATTTTTTTTACAAGGGTTTTTTTGGACTAATAGACTATTGTCAAATTGCAGGTGACTTACTGTAACGGGTCCGGTAACTTGTTACGATTAGTAGTTAATAATGGCCTACCGCATAAGAAGTATAAGAATTTGTGATTTCGAGTTATTTACATAATTTTTTTTTCTAAAATTTATCTAATTTGTTTTGTGTATCATTTAAATATCCTTGAATGATTATATCTAGTAAATCCGACGTCTAGAATACCCTTTGTTTAAATTTGCACGACTCACAATCTATATTGGATAAGTGAATCGTGAAGTAACTTATTACGTAAGTATGTAGTAGCAACCATAGAAACCTTCCATTAGACAAATTACTTGCCATACATTCTATGTTGAACAGCCAAGTCGTAAAGCGTTGCGCCATTCACACTTTCGGTTCAACGACAGGAAGTCTTTGAATATCTACAATAATTATAAAAGATAAGCAGCTCCATTCTTTGTATATGCAACACTTGCCCCACCACTTATACATGCTTGCATAGCACTTCATATAAACAAACCTTCTTCAACACCAAATTGAAAAGCATGGGTTCTCAAGTAATCTCTTGTTTTTGACAATTTGGTTGTGTATTTTTTGACAATTTGGTTATTTTTAATTTGACAATTTGGCTAAAAATATAAGTAAATGATGGTGTAAGCACTGAGCTAAAACTACTATTGGTTTGATTCTGCACTAGATTTGGACTAGTGTTGATGCTTCACATCATGCCATTCTTAACTTATGTTATTGGGGGAGCAATGGACCGACTCTTGAGACTAATTGTTGGTAATAATGATTAATATTTTCAATATATTAATATCATGGAGGCCGTTTTGATGTTGCTTTTGTATACTACATCCGTGTTTTTAATATATGCATTATTTTGACTTTTTACATGCTTTATATTCTAACTTGAACCAGTGTTTTTTACTATACAAAGACAATTGTCATCATTTTACTTGTTATTGGTATAATGTTACTGCATTATTATTTAGTCAATGATATATATATATGGTTAAAACTAAGTAAAAAGTCAAAGTGATGCATCTATAAAACAATAAAGTATTTTATTTAACTTTTGGTTTTCATGTGCACGACAAATCTCATCGATTCTAAGTTCATGGAATGTGAGAGATTATTTTTCACTCCAACGCATGTAAGGAAATAATTTCAGTTTTAGCATTTTTAATGAAAATTGTTCAGAAACAAACCACAATAAACCTGATAGAATATAAAATCAATCGAGGGACTCTAATCATAACTTTCTATCATAACCATGGAATAATTAGAATATTGCACCTAACAGTTAAGGTACTATAGAGGACTTACAGCAGCCTGTATGTCAACATCCACTTTTTAAGTGTTGGTGATTAGTGGAGTATAAGACCATGGACTATTTCTTGTATGTCAATTGTCAACACATTTTATTAATTTACCACTTCTTTTAAACTTACACTTTTTCAAAAAAATTTCCTCTCATTTCTTTCAATCATCTGTATTTTATCTTCTTATCACCCCAAATGCAACCTAAATCCTCTTGAACACAATGTCATCCTACATTTTCATTACCATTTTTGCCTCATTAATCATCAAAACCCGGTGCTCAGATCAAAGTTATACACTATGTGCCCCTCAAAGTTGTGGCAACCTTTCAAGTATAAGTTATCCATTTTGGATTCCAATCAAACAACCATCATATTGTGGGCATCCAAGCTTTAACATATCCTGCAAAAACAATACAACTCCGATCCTTAGAGTTTCAGATAATGATTATGTTATAACCCATGTTAATTATCGCAACCACACTTTTCATCTGGTAAATGATGTTGTCTATGACGGTTCTGTTACTTGCCCGACTCCCTCAAATAATTTAACCCTTGAACATACACCATTTAGTTTCACCACAAATTCTGCTGATTTTTTCCTGTTCTACAATTGCTCAAATATTCCTACAACATACTATGTGTACTATCCTATAAGCTGTAAAGCGGGTGCAGACAATAAAAATGCAACTTACAAGTCTTTTGCTGATTTTCATTTCGAGGATTTGATTCAGCAAAACTATTCGTTAGGTTTATGTGAGTCCACGGTTGCAGTACCAGTGGATTTGGATATGGATGTGGACTCGGGTAATGGTTATGGTGCAAGTAGTTATTGGAAGATGAACTACAGGCAAATTTTGAGTCAAGGATTTACATTGAATTGGACTCTAAATGATTGCAGTGTGTGTGAAACTAGTGGCGGTCGATGTGGTTTGGTTGATGATAAATCTGTGTGTTTTTGCAAGGATAAAACCCATCCCAAAAATTGCCGTGATGGTATCTTCCTCATATATACTCTGTTTTAGATTTCGTGTTAGAATGAAGAGAAAGATTGTATGTAGTATGGTGAATTTCATTGGTTCATCTTACGATGATGTCTTTGTATGTCAATAGTTGAGGTGATTTTGTTCGTTGGATGCCAGTGTTTAGCCAAGGAGTAGAGATGCATATATTTTTTGCTGACCTATGTTGCATAAGTTTACATAGCAGACTAGCTGTAGACTATTGTGCTAAGAATGTCTATAATCATTCATGCAACTGACTGTTCTGCAGGTACAAATATTGTACATGTTTGTTAGACACTCTGGAATTCATAGTCTACATTCCTAGTTACTGGCTTCAAATTTAGTTAGCGATTAATATATGACAAAGAGAAAAGTTATTCTAGATTATATAATTACATTATTAATTACTCTTATACAAACTCACTATATTTGCATTGCCCTTAGGTGCTGGTCCGATGGACTCTGGCCTACAAGAGTCACGTCCAAAAGAGTCAAGTTCGATAGTGTCTAACAAGTCTACAATCGGCTTAGGTAATCTATTGCCTACCAATTTTTGTTTTGCAACACCGGATTGTTAGATTATGATTTAAAGAAAAAATCGGTTTCACAGTTGCAGGAATTTTAGGATTTGTACTTCTGAGCAGCACTGTGTGCTTATTTTTATATCGCCGACATCAGAAGAAGAATTCCTCTGCTAATTTGCTGACTCTCAATAAGTCATATAGTCGTTCATCAGCTGCATCAAGTTTACATATACTAAACGGAAGCACTGTATTCGGAGTCCATGTTTTCAATTACAGGGAACTCGAAGAAGCCACAGAGTACTTTAATCCCTTAAAGGAACTTGGAGAGGGCGGATTTGGCACGGTGTACTATGGTATGGTATATGTAGTTTATGGTGACTTTTTCTATCAGATTATCAGTAAAAAGTTGATTTCAATAAGCAAAAATCTGTTTTACTTTTTGTAATTGATTTCGATCTGTTCTGATCAATTAGAAGATTTCTGTTCGATAAAAATCAGGTGAAGAGAACATGACCTCATTTTATTGCTTTAGTGTCTAACAAACTTCCTTCTATTCTGATAGGCAAGCTTCGGGATGGACGTGAAGTGGCTATCAAACGCCTGTACGAAAACAATAGCAAAAGAGCTGAGCAGTTCCTAAATGAGGTTGAAATTCTTGCAAATCTTCGCCACAAAAACCTGGTCAATCTCTTTGGTTGCACTTCTCGTCAGAGTAGGGAACTGCTTCTTGTGTATGAGTATGTTCCAAATGGTACTGTCGCAGATCATCTACATGGGAAACAAAGCGTAAAGGGGCTACTGTCATGGGAAAGAAGGCTAAGCATCGCCACTGAAACAGCAAGTGCATTGGTATACCTGCATGATTCTGACATTGTGCACCGTGATGTCAAGACTCAAAACGTCCTTCTTGACGGTAATTTCTCTGTCAAGGTAGCGGATTTTGGGCTCTCCCGGCTTTTCCCCTTGGATGTTACTCATGTATCGACAGCTCCTCAGGGGACCCCTGGCTATGTAGACCCTGAATATCATCAGTGTTACCAGCTGACCGAGAAAAGTGATGTTTATAGTTTCGGAGTCATGTTAGCTGAGCTTATATCTTCTTTACCTGCTGTTGACATCACAAGGAGGAGAAATGAGATTAACTTGTCTAATATGGCAGTTGCTAAGATCCAAAATTCCTTGCATGAATTTGTTGATCCTTCTCTTGGGTTTCAGTCTGATACTCGAGCTAAGAAGGAAATAACTGCTGTAGCAGAACTGGCATTTCAGTGCTTGCAGGGTACGAAAGAAATGAGGCCGTCAATGAATGAAGTGCTGAAAGTATTACTAAACATACAAAATCAAAAAGAAAGTGAATTGGACAGGGCGGAAGTTGTAGACATTCCTGATGATGATGTTATAATGTTGAAGGGTGATATGTCGCCCATTTCACCACCAAGGGAGGATAGTTTGGTTACGCGGTATAAAGTTAATGCTAGTGTTTGATCTTCAATTCTTTGTTACAAATTTTCACTGGAGTAATAAATTTATGGTACTTATTCAAAGCAGGAGAAAGAAAAAAGTGTTTAGTACCAATCAAAAGATATGATTGTATAGAATTATATACGGTATACTAGCTAATTGTAACTTCAACTAGAGTTTGTTTGATGCTTAAGACAATTATGACTACAAAGTTGTAAGATGAGTTTCAATCAGAAGTTTAACTACATGACTAGAAATAACTTTATTCAAGGATCTGAATGCTTCTTTTTATCTGCTATAAATGTTTAAACATCTAATTCACTCAGAAACAGGAACATGAATAGCTTTCTCGTCTGTCATTTCTTCACTTCAGCAATGGTAATGTAGAAATCACCTTTTAAGGAAGGGTTAATCACGGCTGACCGGAGTTAAAACATCTTCGTGCTTTTAGCTTTCATTGTAATAAGAAGTTATCCAAATTGCCTTATTAGATATGTTGGGAGCATGATCTTGGAGATTAGAGGTGTGTTGCATTAAGCTTATTTGACTGTATTTAGAAGCTTGTATACAGACTTGGTTTCTTATCGAGCATCGAAAGTTGGCAATGTTTCAAAGACAGGTTTTAAAGTCAAATGGGTGATTGAACATGGTCAGTACCACGATTGTTACAGGTCTGGTGTATGTATGTTGTGTATATGACATGACTTCCGGTCAATCAACTTGCTTTTATGAGTTCCATCTCCCTTTCAGGTCATTCTGCATAGTTCTTTCTGAACTACGATCTTTGTCATAATCCAAACAGGGGTTTCAACAATAATCAACATTTAGCTCTTTGGTCATACAAGCAATGTTTTAGTAATTTTTTGTATTTAAAAATTTTAAAAGATGACCATTAACCAATTACCGATTTTGACATAATTTGCATCTCAGGTTATGTCATAATATGCCATTATTTATTTCTCAAACTTGAAACCACTCTAGACTTGGCTGCAATATGCTTACTGTAATGAATTTTATCATATTAATTATAAATATAAATATTATATATTGGTTTCGTTTTGAATCCTGATTAGCTAGCACATCCTATTCATCATCATCATCAACTCTCTTATACCATAATTTGACTTTTTACTCTCCTACCAGCTACCACATCCTTGCGTGCCGGCTACTAGCTACAACATAAAAATCAATTTCCAAATGTATCCATATCTTCTTCGATCTCCTCTATCATTGTTCCTTGTAATCTTCATAACCTTGTACAATAATGTCTACTCAGGAGATTATCATGACTCGAGATATGAAATGTGCATGTCTAACTCAAGCAGTACTTGTGGAACATCACACCTTAAAATTGCTTACCCTTTTTGGGGAAATGGACGCCCTGAAAATTGTGGCCATCCGAATTTCAACCTTTCTTGTGATGGTAATACTTTTAAAATTAACATCATGTCTCGGGTGTACAATGTGATTGACATCAATTATAACACTAGTACCTTGAGGATAGTTCATGAAGAATTTTCGCGTAGTGAATGCCCTGGATTAAAAGAGTTGCACAACACTACCTTGGATTTGGCCCTTTTCAACTACACTTCCAGTGTTAGAAATGTTTCTTTGTATTATGATTGTCCAAAGTTAAAACCTCTTGAGGGAGCACCCTTTACCTTTTCTTGTGAGCAAAGGTACCCAAATCGCCTTTCTTTCTTTGTGATCACTGATAGTTGGGAGCATCAGCTTGGACAAATATGTGGTGTGAAGCTATATGTACCTGCTGATAAAGATGCATTAAACGATTTGATTTCTCATCATTCATCAGGAGTTGGTGATGTTTTAAAGACCGGTTTTGAGGTCAGATGGGTTATTGATCAAGGTCAATGCCAAGATTGTACTCTTTCAGGTGGAGCTTGTGTGTACAATATGACTTTAAGTCAGTCAACTTGCTTTTGCAGTAGTGGATTGTATCCCACGGTCTGTCCTCAATCGACTGATCAAACACCAAGTATGGTTTATATCTCCCCTTCAAGCATACTTAATTTCCTTTTTTTTTTTATTTGTTCGTAATAATCATATATGATTCTAAAATTTAAAAAAACAGCTGGTGGTCTGTAATGAAAGGAAGGAATCACTATTTCAGTTGATTTTCGTTCTTTATATAGAAGTAAATCATGACTTATTGCTGTCTTCTTTGCTTTTATCCTAGCTACTAATTTAGTTAGTTTTAGAAGAATCTTGATTCTTTTCCATCATGGATCATATACATTCTTTCTCATATCAAATAGTTGGGCCGCGCTAGTCAATTACAAAATAATGAATGTTTTGTAAGTTGTTTTGTTTTCTGAACTTGAGATGCTTGTACACTGCAGGTAAAGGCTTGAGCCTAGAAGCTAAGGTTGGAATAGGTAACAATTTCATTTACAAGGGAAAGTCATTATTTGACCCTTATAAAAAAATTTCATAAACATATATATGTATTTCTTGCAGGAATAGGAGTAGCTTCTGGTTTTCTCCTTGTCGTGATTACATTGTTTGTGTTTGTACGAGGCAAACAACATTACCATTCATCGTCATTCTTTCCCTCCCTGAAAACTTCTCAGTTATCAATAGCACCTGATGAAGAACAAAGTTCATACTTTGGAGCTCAGCTGTTTACATATAACGAGCTTCTTCAAGCCACAAATAACTTTGATCCTTCTAAAGAACTTGGCAAAGGTGGATTTGGCACTGTATACCATGGTAAGGAATTATGAATTTATTTAGCATTTATCATTTTCATTATCTTCTAAAGAGAGCAATACTATTACATAACATTGATGGTATAATTGCACAACTTAATCAATTGATTATTGATATGTCGCAAATTTGACAGTAAAATGTTTGATAAGTTTTCAGATCTAAATGTTGAAGCAGATTACTAGCTGATATATATGTTTTAACATTTATGGATGAGTAGGAGTATTGAAAAATGGGCGAGAAGTGGCAATTAAACTGTTCTATCAGAAGCAGAACAAACAAGTAGCCCAATTCATGAACGAGCTTGAAATCCTTACTCGCTTGGATCACAAACATCTTGTCAAACTCTATGGATGTACTACTCGTAGAAGCCCTGAGCTCATGCTTGTTTATGAATACGTCCCAAATGGCACAGTTGCAGACCATCTGCACGGACAGCAAGAAAAAGCAAGATCCCTTCCGTGGCCTATTAGGCTAAGAATTGCAATAGAAACCGCAAGTGCTTTAGTATATCTTCATTCCTCTGATATTATACACCGTGATGTCAAAACAAAGAACATCCTGCTTGATAATAATTACTCTGTGAAGGTAGCAGATTTTGGCCTGTCGCGTCTGTTCCCCTTGGATGCGTCCCATGTATCAACAATGCCACAAGGAAGCCCAGGTTACCTTGATCCAGAGTATCAGCAATGCTACCAGTTAACAAATAAAAGCGATGTTTACAGTTTTGGAGTTGTTTTGGCTGAACTTATATCAGCGAAGCCTGCAGTCGACAGAAACAGAAGTCGACAAGAAATTAATTTGTCGAGTTGGGCTATCAACAAGATCCTAAAGCGTGCTTGGAGCGAATTTATTGATCCTAAGCTCGGGGTCAAGAAGAATTCTAAGGTGACCGAGGAAGTAATTGCTGTGGCTGATCTTATTTTCCAATGTCTTCAAGCAACCAGTGAAACAAGGCCTTCTATGGAAGAAGTTCTGAAATGTTTAACAAGAATTCAAGATGAAAAGAGTATCGAAGATGTAGTAGACGTCTTTAATGATGCTGCCACTGTTTTAAATGGTGGTGTAGTATGCGAAATCGACAAGGCTGAATCTACTCAAATTGAGAGTAGATAAATCTAATTAATTTGTAGCTGTAAATAAATATTCTGAAGCAAAATAATGTATGAGTTCCTATTCACACTATGACAATATATATGAGTTCAATTGATAAATTTATATGACGAATGCAATATGTGAATTTGTGAATTGATTCTCTTATGGTTTTGTCTCGACTTGTCATACTTGCTCTTGTATATTGCTTAATGGAACAAGATGTGATGATACATAGCATGAGTATAAAGTATTTTTCCCTTAAGTTATGTCAAGTTGGGATTCCTATAAATGCATGTTAAAATTGAAGTATGTGCACTTAGTGTTAATGTGTCACACTTAGGTCTTGTGTTGTAAAAGAAATACTCACTTTCCTAAGAGTATTAGAGGTCTCATAATAGAACTATGGGTGCTGTCAAATTAAACATGAAGTTCCTAAGTTGCGAAAAGAACAACGGAATAAACTTTGATAGAACAAGACAAGTAAGTTCCCAGACTGTCTGTACCTCACATATCTAACTTCAAGAGGAAACTAACCTATCTTTTTGCCAATTAACATTCAAGCATCCACATCATATATCTTCGAATGCAGCATTATTCTACAACCTTTAGTTGTGTGTGTACGTGTTGCACTAACTTCCACATATTCGTAGATTCTTATCTACCCTATTTCCTTTTCTTTTATTCCTACTTCTTATTCTTAATTCCCATGTGCTCTAAGTTTATTCATCATCTTTTTTTGGTTCAATAAAACGTGAACAATGATGATTACATGTTGAGGGGGAAGTTGAAGAAAAAGCAAGAAGTAAGCATTCTTGAAATGTTTAAGACAAGAAACGAACTTAGGGGAATAAGGTAGGAACAAAGAAATCAAATTGGTTCATATCTACTAAAGAGACATCAAAAATGTACATCCATCAAAATAAAATACCAACACATGCATTATATTCTTTGTGTCATTAGTCTTTCTGTTAAGGCCATAAGCAATGGCATCAGCCGTTGGTTCATTGATAATGGGTGTATATGTCGCCAATTTCATGTATAAATTTTGTAGCAATGATTTTTAATGTCCAAAGCTTCATGTCGTTCGTGATCAGTAGAACATCGTCATCATATATCCATTCTCCTGACTATAAGCCTATTTACATCTTCCATTGACTGTCAATGTAAAATATTAACTAGAAGGAAGTCAAGGAACTGAATCATGTGACAAGAAGAAATAGTGAGTACGTGCGTTCATAACTAAGTAAAAGTAATTTACTTCCATGAACTCATGAAGTATAGATGATGATAAATTGATAATGTGTTAACTAAGCTTGTTAACTAAGTTCCAATTATTTCCTAAATAACAAGGTCAATTCCAATCATATTTTTATAAAATATTATACTATAATACTCTCTCTATCCCCCCCCCCTTTTTTTTTTTTTTTTTTTTGGCAAAATTTTAGATTAAACT